TACCTCTTTTCTATTGTGCGTATTTTCTATGTATGCCTTTCTTTCTCTGGGATTGAATATGTGAGAAACACTCCGTAGCCAATAACTTAGGCTCAGGCGAGTATCTCAGTGAAGTAGTAATTTATTTGCGATTGCAATGGCGGGCGCCCCACAAGCAGGAGAGAGCGCATCTACTAGTTCCAAAACACAGTTTACATATCTTTTGATGGCAGGACCCTCCGCTGTTTCCCCACTGAGTGGGTAATCCAGGTTCACAATCTATCTGATGCTTCACAAACAATGCACGGCCTTCAGTTGCCGGCCTGTTAAATTTCAAATTTCTTTGGACATTTTTACTGCTTGAAGTGGTAATGTTTCTTCACTTATCTGACTTGACTTGACACCGTGATTTTCACCTAATTGTCCTAAGGAGTCTGGTTGTCTGCATTTTACTAGGTCGCCTGCTAAACTTTCTCATCACTGTAAGCATATCTCAGTACCACATTCCCTCCTTCTAAACAATGTAACTCTGCAAAAACAACATTTCTATTCCCACAAATAAAATCTGGAATTTTCAGTTGCTGCGTCCCAAGCCTCTGTTCTCTACACCACCTTGCTGCTACAGAGATTTAAAAAGGAAAGAGATGTAAAAGGGCATCTACCTTCTCTCGTCTTCTTTTCTCAGTGTCCATGAAGGATGGGTTCCTGCATGAGATTATTTAATAATTTGCTTGTCTCTATTTTCAGTGTTTCAAGTGTTTTTAGGAGAAGCACCGCCAGACTTCCAACATATTGTTATGGTTACCACCTTGATAAATATAACCCTACTCTGTCTGCTCACCCTTTTCTTTGAGACTTCCCTGCTGATTCCGTATTAACTTTTCTATCAGGAATAAGTTTATTTTATTTTACGAATCTTCACAGCCTTTTCCTCAACCAGTCTTCAAAACCTTCATGACCAGTCTTCACCTTTTCTGCTCCGTCTCAGTTGCTGTGGAAATGCTCAGTCCAATTCCCTGCCAGTCCAAACTGCCAGTTTGTTAAAACTGCGGTGAAATTCCTGTTGGTTTGGTTTGGTTTTGTTTGTTTGTTTGTTTGTTTTTAATGTTTGGCGAGGGGGGGGGGCTCTTTCCATTTTCCTGTCTGAGAGGAGGACCTTTTAAGTAAATGCTCACCAAGCTACCTCACAGCAAATCGCCAGCCGTAGCCCTCAGGTAAGCTGCACTCCCTGCTGAGCAGGAGTCCTGCTCTCTCATTGTGCTTCCCTCAGCCCAAATGTTTTACATGAAGCCTATTAGGGCAGAAACTATTTCTGTATTATTTTATACAGCACCTAGCAGCTTCCTTCACTTGCGGTTAGGTAATACACGCACACGAATACAAATGGAAGTGATATTCCACAGCCACCCCATCAGGACATATCCCTGACCATGCTCTGACGAGCCCAAACTCCATGAAAACCTTGAGTTAAGCTCGTGAAGCATGATTCAAGCCGTCAGGATGCTTCTCAGTGACTTCAGTTCAGATATAAATGCCAAGCCTCTGTCTTTTATACTTAGCTAGAAAATGCCTGCTGCAGAAATGTTCAACAGAAAATAATAAAAGCCCCAGAGGTCGGATATTCATCCGATTCAGAATGGGAGATTTTAAGAGCAAGTTTTCCTGCGAGATTTCCAGCGTTTCAGACTTCTAATCCCATTGTGAGCTCTGAAGCAGCTGGATCCAAAAAGAAAAAAAAAAAAAAGAAAAAGAAAGAAAGAAAAACTTACCAGACTTGTTTGAACTCCAAATGCATTGTGATTTGAGTTGGCAACGAAAGTTTGGCTAAACCCTTCCTGTGTTTGATCAGTGTGCAACGCGGCATTGCTCAGCACCGCCTGGGCCTGCTCTTTGCCCAGACGGAGCTCCTGCAGCTCCTGCAGCTCCTGCTGACTTCCAGTGATGCTCTGAGGACTCATCCCCTCTTGAAAATCAGCCCTATTGTATATGGACAATCAAGAGCATTCAGGCTGAAGCAGCGTTCGGAAAGCACAGCTCCATAAATCATCATCTCGGTAAGTTCTGCTGTACCCTTTTCTAGTAACCACTAGAAAAGTTTTTAGGGCTGCTGGACTGTCCAGCCTATTTCTGAGGGGGCCGCTCAGGCAAGAGGGTAGAGCCAAGCAGGGAACAGGTGAACACCAGATTTTCTCTTTCAGAAGGTTTGTTTTTTAAAAAGGGGTTGTTTTTAAAGAGGGGACAACCTAGAAAACGAGAATGTTAAAAACAGGCAACGTTTAGCATTTTGTTACTAGGCATTTTGGTGACTAGTGACAGTACATGTGGCTGTCTGGGGCCGTGTTAGGTACACGTAACAACTGCTGTAAGCGTACAGACTGATCAAAGACAGAGGCGTCTTCTTTCACACACGCCTTTGGAAACAGAATGCGAAGATGTTTGCTGTCTTTTTTTTTCCTTTTTTCTTTGTGGAAGCTTCGTGTACGGAAATTTCTGAAACTGAAGCTCGGTTCAATTTGCAGCTCACTTTAACATGAACACAACCCTAAGCTGACAAATTTGAGGAAATAGGAGAGATACCTGGTCCTACGGAGAGCTGGTTACTCCAAGCAGCGCCCTCTGATTCTGCACGGAGCCTGCTCCGACATCCTTCCCAGCACTGTGATAAACTACAGCCACCCATGATAAAGCACCACGCTGATAAATGAAAACCACATGTTAGCAGGACACTGCTCACAGGAGCACACAGCACGAAAGGCTGCTATGAGGCCGTCGTTGTTGCTATATAAAACATGCAAAGACTGTCCTTTCTTAAATGAACCAGCTTACAGGTCTCCTCCTTTCCTTCTGCAGAGGCAGGATGCGTTTTCACAGCTCCTTATGTTGTTGATTCTCCAGCCCGCTTTCACCTAAAGCATTTACAGAAGAGATGAAGTCACGCAAGCCTGTAGCTCACAGAGCAATTTTCCCAGTGAGGCGAGGAGGCCTTGGTACCACACTCAGGGAGCAGCAAGGAAGGGCAGACAAAGAGAACCTGACATCAGGCTTAAAACTGTTTCTTCAGAAAGCAGTTGATACTGCTGCCTTCTCCTTGATATATTAGCTTCCCCTGTAGCTTCTTCATTACAAGGGCATGGATTTTGTTAGCATCCTCAGCATGGCCTCCTGCATCTTCCACTTTCTTTAATTATAATGCAATAAAGCAGTCCCACCATCATCACTAAGGAAGGAACTCTTGTTACAGGACAAACCTGCAGTTAGCAGGCCGTTGCTGTAGGGAGCTACCTGTCTGCTTTACACAGTGCCAGAATTAGGAGGCACCTCAGCAGCTTCGTGAGAGGGAGCAGAACTGCCCGTGGGCAGGGTGTCACCGAGCCAGCTTTGCTTTTCAGACCCAGGAGGCTCACCCTGCCACTCACTCCAGCCCAGCTCCCTGCCTACTCTCTCCCCATGCTCGGTATGGTGTTTCCTTGCTGGGACTGGTCTGATTCCTGTTTCTTCACCTCCGCACCTCTCTCGACCAGCCATTCCCACTGAACTGGCTCCTTCTCCCTTGGGTTAATCTTTCAGTGTGCGTTGGAGAAATGGGGAGCTCAGGGAGAAGGAGGCTGCCGTACGTGGAGTGGTCCAGCAGGATCCTGCCTCCTCTGAGGCTCTCTGGCCAGCACCTTACATCCTCACCCCCCTCGAAACGGTCTGAAATGAGCTTCAGAGGGGGCCCTGCCTCGCAGCTAACAGCACGTCAAGCATGGTCGGAATAAAGCATGTGGAGAGGCAGACACACATTACTCAGCTGTGCCCGGTGATCTATCAGGATGTTTGCACAATTTCTCAGAGGCAGCATCTATTCAGGAGCCACACTCATGAATGCCAAAGAACTGTGTTACTGCAGGGCATCACAGACACATCCCAAAAACCTCCAGCACGAAGCAGTGAGATATTTGTCTGCACAGGAGGGCTCTTACGGGCATGCTGGCTGAGACGTTTGCCTGCTGCCACAGGACAGATGCTAGTAGAGAATGTTCTTATTGTGCCTCCTGTGTTTCCCTGGGATTTTATTTAGGGCCCGGTCCCACCCCGTGCCAGCAGCCAGCACGGTGCTGACTGAGCTGGTGTCAGAGGGAAGCAGCATACACGGCGTGAGGAGGCCCTACAGGATTAAACCACCAGGCTGGGGGCTCCTGCTAGCGGAGAGGGATTACTTCCTCGCTCGTTTCTTCTTCTGTTTTGAATGTTCACTTGGCATTAGGAAATGGCTAGAATATACCTGAAATCTGGGGGCTGAGTTCAACCTTGGACGTTGTAATAGATGATAAAATAGCGATGCTGAACAATGGTACTGTAGGGAAGGCTGAGCAGCTGCACATTAAGAAGTTTCCAGTTTGTACTTTCTGCTTAGAATAACAGGAATTTTCAATCAACTCGCTGCCCACATCAAATTCACAAGAGGAATGTACATTTCCCTAAATAAGAGAAGCAACCCTCACATGGAAAAAAAAGGCTTCTCTCTAAGGGCTATTTCCATGGTAACTTCTAAATTCAAAGCTCAAGCTGTTTTGGCTGCAGGGATACTCAGAAAAGGTAACAGGATCGTTTGTTGTTGTTAATAATGGGAAACCATCGCTGCTGTCCTCTCATGCAAAATAGGCCGGGTGGTTTTGTTTAAAACTTCCCCAAAGCCCTCAAAGAACAGGCATGAAAAATTTCACCCTGGCAGGTAAAAGACTGAGAAGGCTTAGAGAGACAACGTAAGGCACTAGAACAGAAACCCAACAAGCTTTACTCCTGTAGTTCACAACCAGCATCCTAATGGTAGTGCTTTTTATCCCGCCGAGATTCAAAGCGGGTCCCACATTGTGTTATAGAAGCATACACAATTTTTATACCCAAATAAATTCGTCTGCTTCCGCAGCAATTCAGTGGGCATCACAGCACAGGACAGTCTGTGACCGACTAAGGGAGAGATTTTGACTCAGGAAACAAATGCCCCCTGGAAGATGCACAACCACACGCACGCCAGGAGCTCTGTATTTAGTTCTCAGGAGTTTATCCCTGCTGATTGAGGTAACATAATCCCACGCAGGAAAAAATACGAGATGGCCACGTAAAGACAGGGTATATGCAGAGAGGAAATGATGCACTGGCAACTTTCATTCAAAGGTCGACTGCAATAAACAAGTTTATGCATTCCTTAGCATTTGCAAGCCTGACTCAGCAGGAGTCCCCATACTACTTTAATGGGGAAGATGGGAGGAAATGATTGCATCCCGTTGTCTTTTCTGAGGTACACTGTGTTCCCATGAACTCTGCAAAGTGCTACGTGCATGTTGAAGGCCTTTCTGAGGTTGTTTTCCCTGCAACAAGAAATAACAAAGTTAGGAGTTAGTTTGGCCTAACATTGCTGAGGTTGAATGTGTGGGTAAGCTAGAATTTGCCTTTAGGTAAATATAGCTCTGGGCTAAAGTATCCGCTTCAGTACTTTAAGAGTCCGACCCACCACCGTGTATCACTCACCTCCGGCTGTCTTTTAAAGGGTGTTGGGGCTGCTTGGTATTTTCGAGGTGGTGCTCATGGATTAGGTCCTACGCAAATCAGGCAGCATTACACAGGCAGAGCTGAAATGCAGCAGGGTAAAATGCAGATCTCAATTCACCTGGGCAGCATTTGGAAAAGTTTCCAGTTCTAAACAGAAATCTCACTTAACATCTCTGTAAACAGGGATCTCTCTAACCAGGTTTGCCAAAAAGCCAGTTAAAAAGCGATGCATGAAAGGTAACCGACTGGCAAAGGTGATGAGTGCTGATGTCTTTGGCAGACTGAAATCTCAACTGAACCTATGAAATCGTTAATGAAGTGTAAATGTGGAAGCTGTTACCTAATATTGAAACAAAAATTATCAGAAGGAAGATAATTTTGAGCAAGTGCTTCTAAAAGTCCGCATCATTGGACTGCCTCCCTCCACAATCCGTGGCAAGACTCCAAAACGCCGAGCAGGAACCAGCTTTTCTGTACAGTGAAGAATGCATTTTGGAGTCTCCAAGCAAGATACGAATACTGCTACAGATTGGCAGGATATTGGTCCAAAAGATAGCGCCCTAACTTCCTGCTCTTCAAAGGAGTCAATTAGCAATGATTTTCGCCCTCCCTGCAGTTAAGCACAGGCCAGCCTTGCTTCAGACACAGCTCCTGTCTCTAGAGCAAGTAGTCAGGAGAAAAATCCACACACACAAACCTGGTTTTATTTCTAGTTGAAAGATAAAGAGGTCACTGCCACTCCTGCGCTGCTATGGGGTCTCTGTAAAACCGCCTGTCTTCTGATCAGTCTTTGCCAATTTGCAGCAATTACACCTAGGAGCCCTCTGGCAGCTGGTGATGCCTGTACTTTCTTTCCTTCTGCTTCTGAAATTCAATTTCTCACTTGTAATCAGGTCCTGTGCCCAGCTCAGTCCCTCGCCTTCCACCTCTGACCCTACTACTGCTCTACAAGTCTCTGCACTGAATGAAGCCTTGGTATCGGGCTAGCCCTGGGCTCTTTGTGTCCTGCACTCTTTAGCCTTGCTAACTCTGCCGTTTTTGGTCGAAATGCCTACCTGTGTGCGAGATGTGCCATCTTCCAGCAGGCAACCAGTGCCTGCTCCCTACAGGAATAAAGGACAGAGGTGAGGAAGGTGGAGCTGCAAAGGGTTTTCAATTAGTGGGTCCGTCTTTGTTGCTGCAGGGAGAGGGATTAGAGGTGGGTCCTGAGCCAAGAGATAAAACCTCCTGAAACAGGAGCTCGGCAGTGCCTTGGCGGGCAGCTGGGGGGCTGGGAGTGTTGGACTCCAGCTGCTTAGAGGTCCTGCCTTTAGTTTCCTTTTTAAAAAAAGAAGGGCAGAGTTGTTCCAAGCAGCCAGAGGAGGCTGTGGGCTCCCCACCATGGTAAGGGGGTATCTCCTGGCCCTGCTGCTGGCCCTGCGAGGCAGCCCTGGGCACGGCAGGGGAGTACTGCCACGGCTGGGCCGGCGGCACGCAGCGCTGGCACCACGGCTTCCAGTGCCCGGAGCGCTACGACAGCCCGGAGGCTGCCCTGTGCTGCGGGACCTGCACCTTGCGCTACTGCTGCTCAGCCAGGGAGGCTCGCCTGGACCAGGGACGGTGCCCTGGGGACCAGCAGCAGCCCAGCCCCAGGCCCCCGCTGCCAGGTAAGTTGCCGTTCCTCTTGCAGACGGGAGGGAAGATCAGGTGTGCCGTCCTCTTTGCATCCCCTGGAGCAAGCCTACCTTGGTGGCATCCAAAGCATTTCTCCTCTTCAGACCTCCAGGGCTATCCCCAGCTGGGTTCACGCTGCTGGGCCCAGGGGAGCTGGAAGCATTGCAGTCCAAGTGCTTGGAGACCTGTACAGGGCTTCTTGTGTAGAGTTTGCCTTGCTTGCATGGGCCAGAGCCAGTCACTGACTTGCACTGGGAAGACACAACAGCTTGGGGCTTTACTCAAGGTGTTTTTCTGTTGGTCCGTACTCTTAAAAAAGCTTCCAAGCTGCTAAGAGAGTAGTCTGGTAGCACCTCTGGTGCTTTGGCACCAGTGGAGTATGTGTGTTGCTAACCAGTTTCAGCAATAAATGAATGTGGCTGCCTCCAAGTAATTATTTTGACTTTATTTCTGGCTTGTAAGAACCCAGATGCCACACAAACCAATGGCAATTTTTATGTGCGTGTATATATATAAAAATAAAACCTCCAGTTAATAGCTGTATGTTAGAACTCTGTTAATCTTGCACAAGTGAGCTGTAGCTGTGATGCTGAGAATTGGCTCACATGAATGCTGAATGTCACAACATTTCTTGCATGGGTACAAAGGGCAGATGCTACAGGACTGACTTGTCTGACCCTGTGTACTTCAGGCGCTTCCCAAGGAGCTTGCCTTAGTGGCTGCCAGTTTCTGATCTTTTTTGCTCTCCTCTAGCAAGGCTTTAGAGCAAAACTGCCCTGGCCTGCTCCCTGGTGCATGCCTTAAGAACAACAGAATATAACCTACAATACCCCATGAACGAATGGCTGGCTAACGTCACTCTTCTATTTTCAGTCCCCGTGTACCTGCCATTCCTTCTTGTTGGCTCCGTGTTTGTGGCATTTGTTGTTGGCGGTGCCTGTGTTGGAATTTGCTGCTGCAAGTGCTTAAAATCCCAGGACGAGGAGCAGCAAAGCGGACTGGCACCTGGTCAGACCTGGCTACTAGAACCTGATCTTCCTTCTCGCCTCTCCAGCTCTAGCTGTGCCACCAGGAGCTCGCTGAGCAGCGGCCCTCAGACCAGCAGCATCTGCACAGCTCTAGCCCCCTCTCTTCCCATCATTGGCATGGCTGAAGAAGCTCGCTTCTTAAGTTCCCCCCCTCCCAGTGGGCAGCTCTTGTACCCTTTACATGAATACAGAATGCCCCCTGACCACACCAGGCTAACAACTCCAGCATCCTTCCTCAAAAGGACAATTTATGGGCACGGTGCCACCGCGTGCCCTATCAGTGTGCCACCGGGTGACCAAACGATGTACTCAGCGGGTCACGGCTGAGAAGAGGACCCATCAGCGCAGCGCTGGGGCTGGATTCTCCTTCACTACTACAAAAACTAATTTGGAACTGAAATGAGGACTTGCAAGTGTTTAAAGGCATTAGGAAGTTCATCAGTCTTGGTTTTCCAGATTTCCAAAAGATAACGTTTTTAGGCTGTTTTTAACATGTATTATTTTTAACGCAATCGAAAAGGGTGAGACTCTGAGGACTTCGTTCCTGTTCAAGGAGTGACTGAATCTGTAGAAATGTTTCACCCTTCCCCATGTCCTTTAAAGCTGCCATACCATGCCCCAGGGGACATGGCAGAGGACTTGATTTCTGTTTCTGTAGCCGTGTCACTTCTCAGCACCTTCTGCTAGGGCAGGGAGGTGTGCCTCAGTGCCGTTACTAATTGTGGACACAGGAAGACTGTACTTTATCTACATACTTCTATCAGTGAACTGATTCGAGATAGTAAAACACTGCCAGTGGTTTGCCTGCCCCTGAGGAACGAGGAGCAACTTCTAGCCCTGAATTCAGTAAGATGTGTGTTTAATACAGATACTGGGGGAAGGTAATAAAACAATGTACGTTTCCTCTCCTGTAATGGCCTGGTTGTCTTTTTTTCTTTCTCATCTTTGGCCATTTCAAATGGATGAAGAATTTTAGGGAAAAGTAAACACAAAATGAGACTCCAGTCAGTCCGAGTCTTCAGTTTCCTGAGAACGTGCTGGAGAAACTTGCCTGCTCTGCCTCTTTGTTAAGATGCATGCTGCCTGACCGCAGCCATCCCCTTCACAGCAGGACGCTGATAGGAAGAAGTTGTCAAAATATACTACTCACTGCTGGAGCAGTTTTAACACTTCCTCGCAGCACAGAAACCCGAGCGGTTATCCTGTGAAGGCATGGTAAAAGGCCTCTGCAGGTGTTAGCAGTAAGAGCAGGGACCGAGGCTTCAAAATCTTCCTTGTATGAAAAGAAAATGCTAAAGCCTGTGTTAGTGGTGCCTATCAAAGGGGAAGCTGGCACAATAAAGATGTGTGGACACTTCACTTGTAAATCGAGGGGACTGATGCTCTTTGGCAAGGAATGTGTGGCTTTAGTCTACTTTATGCATGTTTTACTGCAGAATTTTCCTTCTTGCTCTAGTGAGCAGCACGTCCTACAGTCATGCTAAGCTCACATCTATCCTGCCGCCCAAGTCTGTAGGGGCAAGCTGACATAGCTGGAGAACTTCCTGGCTTTTTCGTGGGTGTGAATTACAAATTCCACAATTTAGCTGACCCAGGGCTGTGACTTAAGCTCGCTTGCCCAGTTCCTCTTGAAATTGGACTAAGATATAAGCATGAAAATAAAATACCCTAAAAATAAAAGCTTTCCCAAAATACCGAGTCTCAAGTGTTATCCGCCTGTCTTAGCTCTGAGAAAATAACAAGTTAAGGCTTCAGGAAACAGTAGCTTGAACTTAAAAGCTGTTGTCCTTTTTACAGTAAGGGAAATGTCATCGGGATTTATTGATAACTACGCCAATACAAAGGACTGCAGCAGGAATGCCGATTTTTAAAGTTAGGTTACAAACTTGTCTTGCTGGAAGCACTTAGAAAATGGTTTCATTTTTTTCTAAAGTACTCGTTGTTTGCAGTTGGCTTAGGAAAATCTGCAGCAGAATCAAGTATTTTATCTGGTTAACGTCCAATTCTGACAGTACACACAGTGGCAAAAACTCGAGGCAGTTCAGAGACAAATGAACAAGATATCCTTCCTGATGCTCTCTGTGCTGAGAGATACTCAGTCAGTTTTATCAGCCAGTGGTTGCTCTAGCACAGATTTTTCTGAACTAGAAAGGTAAAGGGATACAGTGAGCCGACAGGCAGCACACCTAAGCCTCAGACTGTAGCGTATACAGGCCTCACATCGACTTCAACAGAAATGGAAATCTCTCCAGGAGAAGGTTTTAAATTAAACAAGGGACCAGAGCAATAGCTGTCCGGATACAGTAAGGCAGAAAAGCATCAAGAGGTTCACTTGTAACCTTAAGGAATTAAAGAGAAGGAAGCTGATCAGAATTGAGGAACACACCAGCTAAATGGCTCTGTGCATACTGCCTTAATTGCTCCCTGGCTAGGCTTAGCAGTGTGGTGGGAGTCAGCAAGCCTTCCTCTCCCCTTCCCCTGGATGCTCTGCACCACAAAACCAGGCAGGAGAGCAAGCCGAGTGGCTTAGCGGAGCACTCTCTGCCAAAGGTGGTTTGTATGGGAGCAGGGGATTTTCTGGCTCCCTTTCACAGCATTTTCTACAAAATGAAGATTAACGCTTTCTGCAGCAACACCAGGTCAGATATTTCAAGGGTGTGATGTTTCTTTTCAAGACTGCCACTTGGGGAAAGGGAAGCCACGAAGTAACCGATTCGCTGCAGTCCAAGAGCCAGAGAGATATTTTTAAGAGCCATTTGCCTGAAGTCTTCCACCAAGCACCACTGTAAACTGGGATTACCTTGGTCTTGATTAGCATCTGCATTAAAACCAGAGCAGCCCATGCGGGCACTAAGGAAAAAGAGCAGAGTATCTTTTATGTAAATGTTATCCCTTGACTAATTTGAGGGGCCTCGGCACCGAGTTTAGCACATCTTTAGATAGATGGGATATGTTCATGCTAATTCCCTTTTTCCTAGCTAAACTGCCTCCCCTCCTTGAAGCTAAAGAAGAGGCACTTAGCAGAGCTAATAGCCTACTTACCACCTATTGTACCGGGCGCTTTGCTTTGTTTGCTTAATGATGCCCCAATCCCATTCCCCTCGACTTCTAATTAAGAAATGATGTAGACTCTTTGCTCCTTAATCCTCAGTAATGGCACAGGTGATCTGAATTGTTCTCGGTGTATTCTCTCTGGATTTAGGAAGAAAGAATTTAGTAAGAGCTAAGAATTGACAAGGTGAAGCTTTAGCCCTCAAGACAACTTTGCTGAACTGGTGTCCGGCTTCCCTACCGGCTTTGTCTGCATGGGGTCTAATTCCCTGCCTTTGTTTGAATAGTGGCTTTAATTTTCTTTAGCTTAATGTCTTCCTAATGGATCTGGGATAAACTAAATTGTGTTTTTGTTCGGATTTTTAGACAAATTTCAACAAACTAGTTTAAAATAGGAAAACAGGACAGCTCTGCAAGTTGCATGTAATTGTGTCTCCGTAATATTCCTTTTTTTCTTTCTCTCACCGGATCAATACACAGCGCTGGCCGATCCACTCTGTCCTACTAGAAAGCAAGAACAAAAAACTTAAAGAGTTTTTACTTCTATTTCTCTTAAGCCAAGATTTTTAAGGTTTTGAATAAAAAACAACCTCCCATTCTGACCAGTTATTAACTATTTTCCTTGGAGAAAACCAAGGTACAGGGAAACTGTACAAGGCCTTTCACTGTTCACCTCTTTCAGTGTATTGGCAGGACTCTGAGCACGTTCTGGCAATCCTGGCTCCATAGCTTTGTTAAGTCTCCTACTGGTATTAATGCATTAATTGCATTACTGCAATTAATATTGCAGTATTGATGCACTATGATGCATTTTGTTGGTTAAGAATGATGATGGATATTTGCCTTGCATTAAAAGACAGATTTGCTTTTATCCAGCACAGCTGCAGGGTTGTTTTTTTTTTAATGCAAAAATGGAGTTGAATGTTACTGATACTGTATGTTTTTTTTTAATGTTTATGCCAAGTGCATCACAAAGATCTGCAACAATTCATTCCAATCAAGTCAATTCAACTTTGAGCTGCAAGAAGAACCCCCTCTTATCCTTCTCACAGAGCTACACTGATTTGCTGTTCTTCAGGATCAGGTATTCTGGTAAATGGATCAGAAATTGTCACAATGCCCATATAACCTACTGCTCTCTGTGAGATCTCAAGCCAGGGAGGTTTCCTCTTGTGGAAGCTGTACTGTTCCCTTATGTCCTTCCTTCAAATGAAGCTAATTACAAGGGAAGTTCAAAGGTGGAAATGGCATCTATTTCTGTTACTCTGGAAGTGTTTGGATTGTCTTTACATCACCATCCCATATTGTATTGTGCCTAGATCTTACTATAGTAGAATGGACGGTGTTGGTCAAAACCTCACGTACTAGGAACTGCCTGGTGGAATCCCAGCAGCTCGATACAGATGCACAAGGGTGAAGGAGGTTCAGAGGGCAAACTGAGACTGGGGGTCTGTAATGCACCGTGCTGGGGCACTGAGGAGCACAAAGAGACCTCATTAGACTGGATGCACGTTGCCTGCACGGCCACCAGCACAGCGTCTGGCATGCCAGTCAGCACGGTGCTGCACCAGACCTCACAAATGTGGAGGATGGGAGAAGTCTGCAACCTCCACCTGTTTCCACTAAATCTATGCCTGCCTAGGAAAGAAAAAAAAATTAAATAAAGATGATCCTTATGTATTTCCTCCTATTTCCAGGGTCTACTGGAAGATGTAAAGGTATCTATGAATGAGCACTCCTGCCAGTGCACTTTGTTTGTTCTCTAAATTAAATAAGCTCTCTTGAGCTGGAGCACTGGGGGAGGTTTCAGCCTGCACAAAGCGCTGCCAGCTCACTTCTCTCCCTTTGATGCGTGATGGCTAACACAGTCGCCTGGCTGCTGACTTCCAAGCCTCAGCAATCCAGGCCGTGATTGCTTAACCAGAAATAGATGCACTCCTGGGTTCAGATGCAGAAAGAGTTTGGAAATATTCTTCTTTTCCTACCTAAAAAATACGGCATGGAGCTGCATGTGCCGGCCTACCTACCTACATGCCTGATGTCTGCCCGCATGCTTTCATGTTGATGGGCACGTTGATTTTGCTGGAATATCTTTTCTCTTAAGCCCTTAATAGTCATTAATTTTACTGTCAAATTATTTCCAAGTAGTTCTCATAAAATGGGACAGCCATTCCCTGTTTATAAGGGGCAGGAATGGGTTTTGTGGGGGCCAAGGAGAGATCTATCCCCCATCACACTACAGTCTAATACCTGTTCCCTGATCCTGTCTTTATGACAAGGATCAGAACCCAGCTCATAGGTGTTTGTGGTTCAAAGCACCAAGACTACTGCTTTTACAAATGAATGATGACATGGCTCAGTATGAGACTTCTGCATGTGTAGATGAAAATATGGTATGTTCTGCCTAGCCATGTTTTTAAGCTGTCAGGCAAAACTTGTGAAGAGTAAGGTGACAAGGAATTTGGTGGGCACTCTGGGAGCTGAAGTGCAGAATCCTGTAGTCCATTCTTATACTTTACTCATCTTTACTCTGTTGGAGCCTAAGCAGCTTGATTCTGGATCCAGGACCTCGCTATGGCTGGCACAAGACCAGGTCCTCGCCCACAGGTGCTCAGCGATGTCACTTCCAACAACATTTTACAATTACAAGCGTACCACTACTTTGAAGTGGCAAAGTGCTCCTAGTATAGATGTAGTTGTACTGACAAATGTACATTTTGTACCAATTAAATTACCTGTAAGAACAAATCCAGCTCTAGAACAGCTGCACAGGATATTTTCTTATTATATCTCCATAAGGAATTGCTTGGTAGGGCACTCAGATACTGTCATGATTTTGTCTAACATAGAACTGCCAGAAAAAGCCCACAACGCAGACAAGATGTATGTCACGTCATTATTTTCATGGACTGTGGCAGGCCTACTTAATTTCCCTGGTCTCTTCAGTCAAAGGGATATCTGATCCAAATGGATTTGGAGGTTTGGAGAAACTGGGATTCAATTCTACACTTAGCAGAATACACAATGCAGAATATACAACTTTGGATTTCTCTGCACCACAGCTTTGGGTTCTGCTTATTAAAACCAGTCACAAGGGCCACATATATTATCCCTCTCCTCTAACGGGGTTCTTATTTTAAACCTTTTTTGTTGTGCATCTATATGCAAGCCATTAAGGATGCAAGTCACGTGTATGTGGGAAAAATGTAACAGATCTACTCTCAGTATACCAAACCCATTGGTAAGCAGTCTGCCAGCAGCAGAAACTAATGAAGCTTGGCTTCCTGTGGGGTTGCCTTGTGTTTATATGGTCTGATGCTTAATAAGGTGAAAAATGAATGAAGCTTTTCTAAGGCTTGGCTACTCACGGCAGCTCACTTTCCACGCTGTGACATCCTGGGCGAGTCCTACAGATTACCCCTCTCTGGGAGTTTTAACAGGATTTGCCTCTTCCACCTGGATTCCTACTCTCATTAAACTTGCAAGAACTTCCTATCTTCGAGGTGTCAGCTCCTGTATCATATATGCATGACTTGATCAATGGATTCAAAAGGTACTGGGGCAGATTAAAAACAGAGACTTGATGAGTAAAGTCTCGTCTCCTTGAGAGCATGTGGCACTGGATAGGGGAACCCTTCTTTAACCGATTGTGTCTTTCCAACACAATTTTAAGGGTTTTCTTGTTATTTTTTCCCCTGTTCCCTCATTTTTTGAATTTGAGTATCACACTGTAAGGATCTTGAGCTGGCTGTTGTATGGAAGTTGTGTATCCACTCCCACTGGAAGCACGCGAGGCTTTCCTGTATTAAATGTGTGGGAAGCTGCAGTTGTGAACAGCTTTCTGTTACAACCATTAAGCTGGTCGCAGCATTTATATTGCCAGTATAACAGACAGGGAGATCAAAACAGACAGATTAAGGTCTAATTCTCCTAGAGCGGTCCATTAATCCTTGAGGGTTTTGATTTCAGGGCGTCCAGGTTGAAAAATTGCAAACTGAATTGCAGAAGCACCCAAGGCAGGCAGATACAGTAGGAGCAAATGGGAGCAGAAGTTGTTCCAGCCTTCTGAGTCACCCTGTGGGCACCTCGACGTGTGTGTTGCAGAGCCTCCCAAACCAGATTTTGCTTAAGAAACTCGGCCTTGAATGGCCTTTAATCAAGTTCCAGCTACTCTTCCTCTGTTCAGACAACTTCACCTTGTTGTGGAGGCTCCAGTTGGATTTTAATGTCAGATAGATGAAGGACTAGGTAATCTGGCAAATGATTCCTCTGGTGGAATGAGGCAGAACAAACCAATCACACATTTTTCAGACTAGCCAAAGCTTACGCTCAGGTGTCTGTGCAGCCTTTGTGGTTTGTGTTGGCTTTCTGCCAGCTCTGTAGAGAGAAATGATGCCTGGTGTGTCATAAAATCTGCTGAGAAAGTTATTATACAACGTTTTTAAAACAGACTCGAACCAAACAGATTTTGCACTAGTTCAAAGCTTTGTTCCACGCGTCATCAGAGCTTTTGATCAGGTACGGTGTGCCAAAAAAAACAGATTTACCACTGGTAGAACTACAGGCTTAAGTCATCAGATGAATGTGTGCCCTACAAGAGAAGCCCTGCACAGGGCTTTACAAACTACACTGTTAATTTTAGTAAAAATAAACCTGATCACTATAATAATTTTTCTAAGTACTGTAATCAAAACCAATTTATATTGGAATTTGGTATGCAGTGGCAACAGTCACAGTTCGAATTCATGAAACCTCAAAGCTTCCACCCAAGCTTTTGCAGTGGCAATGAGTTTCTGCAGGGGATTAACTGAATAAATTGGATAAGAGACTCATACAGTGAGTAGGAGAAGCTGAACTTGTGGGAGTTTATTTTCCTTGCACTCGTTAAGGAGCACTGATCGGATTTCTGAAAGCAAAACTGCTGTGGCTCAAATAGCGTGGGTAACTTACAAACTGATATTGCACCAGGGAGGAAAAGTAAATGCAAGACTGCACAGATGACCCTGCTTTGTAAGCTGGCCTTTAACCCACGAGACCTTCAGCAGAACCTGGGGGGAATTCTCTTGCCCTACTTAATAGCTTTATGCTTTGCTTTCACTAAAAGAGCTGTTTCTGCCAAGTCCTCTGATTTCTTACAGGTTCTTAAGCCACTTGATCAAGAGTGAAAATGTCTGATCTGTACACTTTGATGGAGGTAAGTAGTTCCAGAAAAAATATGATCTAAACAGTCAATTCACAAGCAGCAGCAGTCCCCTGAGGAATATTTTTAGGGAGGCTGTCTCTGTGTATGGCTTTTAGCAGAGCGTGAGTCAGAAAGGCTACCAGGACAATCCACACATACAACCTCAATGTTCTCTCTTAGTGAGATTGGACAGAGAGATAATCTGCCAAAGACCTTGGCTCTAACCTGAGCAAGGTTTTTACATCCATAATAAAGTCTTTGAGGAATGGTGACTGAATTCAGAGGACAGGTACAGTAGTTCAGGATGGCTGTATGCAGACATGTATAACAGGATCTGCAGTGTGAGTGTTCAGGATTTACCTCCAAAACCAGCGTTGACTCTAAAAAGGAATCACCTTACCTACCACAACAGCTGCCGATAATGTGCTGGGGGGCACTAACTCAGCATCAGCAGCAGATGTGAAAGCAAAACAGGGCTGCTGAGCTCAAACAAGGAGGTGGAGGTGAAGAGCACCCTTATGGCTCAGCCACCTTGCATACCTGTGTTCTCAGGAGCAGCGACGGATCTCCAATCAAACCAGTAGCCGAACCTTGTAGAGATGGTGAATCTGACATGCATCTGGTGGATGCTTTATCTAGAAATTTTTAAGAGGTCATTCTTTTTAACCAGCTGTGTCTCAGTGATCCCTGTGCTTTACTTTTCTTCTGTGATTTTTCCTTTGATAAAATTCACGAATTTAATGAACTCGTGCCAACTTTCAGACTGTAGTCTACACAGGAGTGGAAATACGGCATTATTACTTAAAGAAATGTATCCACGTGTATTCAGGAACAGAGACGGTGCTCTGGAGGCAGCTGTCAAGTGGATAGGGAGAGGGGTGCAGGCTGTGCAGCATCTCTTCTGTCACACAACAGACAGTATTTGCTACGCCAGGCAGTACTTTCATACAGTTCTCAGCATTCCTTTCTTAAATGTCCTCTATCATTCAAATCAACATATTGTTTTCATCATATCTGACTTAATTTTGAAACGATGGCACATAAATATATAGCATATTGTAGCTCTTGGAATTCCAGGGCTTTTCGGATCTCATTCTTTGAATCACTTGGCTTACAAAAACAGGCCCTGAAATCCAACATAAAAGAGAATCCAGATACACAGACTGGAAGCTATTAAAATAAACAGATGGATGGTTTTGATTCCCTCCAGAAGAGAACAGATGTGGCTGCATGCATAAACATAAGCATTCACCCAAATAAAACATAATACTCACTTTGTGTTTATCTCATAGCTTATCTCAAGTACACGAATCAAATAGCCTATTAATGTTTCGTATGCTGTAGGTCAGCGTGCTTTGGCTTTCGGACTAGCTTCTGCAATAATGAAGTTACCAAAAAATGGCAATCCTGGCTGTGAGACAGCCCCTTCAAGCAGGTACGATTCATTTGTCATGTTTCTTGCAAAGCCAAGTCAAACCCAAATAACCTAACACAATTAAGATCTGGCAAAGAAACATTTTCAATACAGTCATCAGCTACGTAACTTCAGTCGGAGCACTGCTTCTGAGAGCTGATGGCTGGACCACATCCTTGGGACTTCTTTTAACAATTAAAGCGATGAGGATAGTACTGCATGCACAGGTCCTTTTTTTCTTTTCTTTCCCTAACATTCTGTGATAACTGCTTTCCACTCATCAGCAGACTCATTTCTCTATTACTGGACCACAAAGCACTGCCATCAGGATCCAGATTTTGGCTCCTGGGGACCAACAGGAGGTGTTTAGTGGCTTAGCCACCCAATACAGGCTGGAAGGTGAAAGTAGGTTTTGCTAAACTCCCTTTAAAAAAGCCACAGAGCTTCCCAGAGGAATCTGAATCTTGGTGTTGCAGCAAACACCTGCTAGAGAACACCAGCCTCTTGCTTACCAGTCTGCATCCATCTCCTTCCTGCCCAAACAGTGGCATTACACATCCATATATCCATATCTATATATTTTCTAATACCACAGCACAACCCTAGAAGGGGCTTAACCACAATAAAGAACAAATGAATCACTTCTGCTTGGATTCAATACTGAAGGAGGTCGTGGCATAACAAAAGACAGATCATACAGAGCTACCTTCCCATTTGCGGAATGATGGGGACTTATACAGCAGTGAGAGATCACACCAGTGCCTGCCTAACAAAATATGGACTGCTGGTTTTATGTGGCTGTACGTACAGTAGCTCTCACAGGAGAATGCAGAACGCACTTTGCAGATTTCATCTGGGGTTGGTCACTGCTTGGGAGTGGAAATTCTCTGCAGGTTTTCTGCCAGCCTGCTTTTGGGCACACGCTCAGTGATTATTTCTGCAGGTGCTGCTCGAAACGATGCGATTTAACCATGTATCATACTCGTTTCCTCTAAGCTTGTTCTGGAGGAAAAAAAAAAAGTCAATGCACTGCTAATCTAACCAGTCACATCGGCTTGAAAAGATCTTAAAGGAAAGGGAAGTTTCTAGCAGTACCTGGCACCCCTCAGCTGGTGAAAGGCAGACTTGGTGCTACAGGATGCTAAGATCAGCTAGACGGGTGGCGACTGTTATTCCCAGATAAATTACACACCGTCCCTCAGCTTCAGTCGGAGAAGAATTCAGGAGTGGAGACACCCCTCCAGCAACCCTGACGTACGCAGAAGTTCTGCTAGGTGACAACAACAGAGCTGGCTGTTAGAAAGGCAACCAAGTTTATTTCCGTATCACAGCCACAAAAAACAAAAGCAGAGGTGTCTGTACAAAAAGCATTTTGGCAAGCAGGGTGTGACACTTCTCCTGAGCTATAAGTCATTTCTCCTCATTGGTTCCCCTGCTTCTTTTGCTGAATAAATGATCCCAACTGATTTCCCTGCTCCAGATGATCTGTCCAAGCAAATAATCTTTTCATTTATTTTCCCCTTGCCTAGGAGGAAATTTTTCTTTTCTATTAAAAGACGGTTGCATGGGAATACCGGTCAATGGTCTATGAAATGAGACAAAGAGAGAAACTCTTTGTTGCTAACTCAGATAAAGATTTATCTAGAGCCACCCTGGGTTTATGCTCTCAGTAACAGCCATTTCACAAAACACAGCGGGAGCGACGTCACTCTCACATGAGTGTGTATGTGCATCAATTCTTCCTACTGGAAAGAATCAAAACTGTTCATCCGTGTGCCACAGCTCCTACAATGACATAATCTAATGGAAACGTATCCCCTTTTATTTGGGAAGCATCCCCATTTTAGGGGCATGAGACTATTTTTGCGCTATAAGGCTCTGACTAGGCTCAGTGGACACGCTGCTGGTGTCTGTGAAGCGCCCATCAATCTACAGATTTGTTTCCATACAAGCCTCCATCTTCTTTGATGAAGAAAACAGAACTGTGTGATGCCAGGCACATTTGGGCAACGTCCTAAAAAGACACTGAGCCATGTTCCTGTATCCTGTACGCTGGCACAAGCAGGAGATGGAGCAGAGCTGGGAAGGAGCTGCAAGGCACGAGCATGGCACTGTGCAAGCAGGCAGAGCCAACAAAGCCTGTGCACTGACAAACTACAGCTTCAGTTGGATATTTGGTCTCCTTCGTTCTCTCCAGAGCCAGTGCAAAGAATGAGGCACTTCTAGAAGGTGATTTCAGACATCCAAGACATGCTTTTACTGGGAATAGCCCACAGAGGTTTGCATACCCATTGCCTGCCTCAGAAGAGCAGCCTGCTAGTTCACTAAGCTAGGCACTTCAGGTAAGCCTAAAGTTAAACTTAGAGACAAAAACTGTTCCTTCAGATCTTGCAGCACACCTAAACACTTGCATGGTGCTAAGAGTGTAGGGGTCCACGTTCCCTTTGCTTCTGATGCTGGGGAATAATTACATATAAGGCAGAACTCACCATTTAGGAATAAAACCAACCTATTCTGAGCTCAGATAGTCCCAGGTGATTGGCAATATGCTTCTTCCACAGGTGACAGGTAATCAGAAGCATTTAGCTATTTGAGGCATCATTTTTTAAACATAATAAAGGAATACGAGTGTCAGAAAGAGCAAAACAACCACCTCCTGAAAACGGGGTCTGTTCAAAACATCTCTAGGTAGCAGCCTAGAAATACGTCCAAAGTCACTGCTGCAAGAGATGTCTCTGCTCATGTAGGGATCTTCTCCCTGATGGCAACACTTAGAGGGTTTTTACCTTACCTGCATACTGCTGATGAATTTATAAGCGGGCGCAGACAGCTTGATGGCCCTTCTCTTTTCATCCTACCTATTCTTATTCATATAATTGTATAATCCTTATTTGAAACTCCCTGAGCTATTTGCCTCAATAATACGAGTTTTATTCATACTCTGGGGTTTGAAGAAACAGAGCAAAGTGTCTCCTGCAAGAAAAATCCAAATGATGTTTCTTTGTGGCTGGAATTTAATCTATTCTAAGTGGTGCCTCTGTTCCCTAGTGCTTTGCTTACCGGAGGTGAGCTCTCTGGTGCTGAAAATAGAAGATATTTTAGCATTTACGTGCGAGCGTGTGCATGCAGGAATGCAAATCTGTAGAAGTTCCAGAGTTCATCTAAAATGCTAACAGAATTACAAGCTCCCAACCCAAAGAAGACGTGGTGCTCAATGCTCCTTCCCAAACACAAGAAATGCAGTTATAGATCCACCTCTTCTTCCCCTGGTCAGCAGAGTGGTCTTAATTGTCTGTGTCATTATGCAAAATGAGAAAAAAAAAAGAAGAAAAAAAAAAGGAGAAAAAAAATATTCTTGTAGCCAAGGTTTTGAGCAGTTCTGTATTACTGGGCTCTGCTCACAGCAGGACGTAACTCGTTCGGCCATCACAAGACCAACTTCCACCCCAAAGATCAGATTTTTCCTGAAACTTACACGAGTGAGCAGGGGCTGGGAAGGTTACACAGATCCCCTCGCATCTGTGTAAATCATCAGCTCCCTTGGGGCTGGCAAAGTGCTGCAGAAGCACCCGATTTCCTTCCGAGAGGATCCTGCAAGCTGAGAACTGGGAAGTATGTTTACCCGATAATAGTCTGAGGTGGATTTTAGATCCCTCAGGAGGCTCCAGCCACATAATTGCAAATACTTATTATTTTACCTGAACCTCATAACTCTAACGTGCGGTGATTAAAATGAAATTCCCATCTCGGATACGCAGGAACAAAAGTCTTAATAACAACTGCTAAATCTCAGTATCACATTCAGCCACCTTAGTAACCTGTTTAAAAAATAAAAAAATAGAACATCTGCAATCACATTATCATCCAGCCAAAGGGCTGAAATTTCCCTAGGGGAAATATTGGCTTAGAGAGAAATTTTGCTTAAAAAATGAAGCTTGTATCATCGGGATGTAAAATCCCAATCAAAGAAAGCAACAGTGTGCTGTAAAACCTAACCACTGTAAGGAATGACAACATTTTTCTTTTTGTATCTGTTTCCTACCTGAACAGTCTATGTTTAAATTATCTAGCAATGAAAAAGTTCCCAATGGATTCTCTCCCTCCTAAATGCAGGTCCAGTGCATTTAAAAAAAAGCCACTTCAGGTTGATCACAATGAACGTGGATCATTTGTTGGTGGCAAGCCCCACTGATACAACAAATACCCTCACATTCTTCTGCTGTACTGGTAAATAAATGAGGATAATCCTAACACTAACACGATCCCCGATATGCTGTCGTGATAACAGTGCTGTAGAGTGTCTTATGCCTGCACGCGATCATCATCCAGGCAGTGTCAGTTGTCTGAGCGAGCCGGGGAAGGTTTTCTTCTTTAATGGATCAGAGAAAGAAACAAAACGTTGGAGCTGATCTTGCCAAACATTTCCAGGTGGCTGTACAGAACCCTCTGGGCATTATGAAACATCCATAACAACGCAAAGAAAAGAAGCAGACTTCTTTTCCCATGGCTAACAGCATTGCTTGTGCTTCAATTTCTTCAGTTTCTTTGGCAGCAAAGAGTGTTCATTGCAACCCCTCTGCAGAGGCAAGTGTCGTCAGAAGAGGGGAATTTGGGGGTTTAGGGAGAAGTTTGATTTAGAGTGGGTGACAAACACATGGGGAAGGGTGCTGTCAGGACACTGCTTTCCCCCTGCTGTGCCACCGAGCACACACTGAGCTGGCCCAAAATGAACGCTTAATGTAGACTGGATTACCTCACCAAGGCTGCTGGCGTTTAACCCTGATCCCAAGCACTTCCCTTTTTCCATCAGAGGTTGAAGTTAACACACTCACAGGTCAATGGGCCAGCTCCGTACTTACAGCATTGTTAGCTTTTTGATAAATTGCACTCATCAGCCCTACCACTTCTTCTGCAATTTGCCAAGGATTAAGCAGACTTGGACAGGAAAATAGTTAACTAGGACTGCAAAGCAGTTTCCCTGTTTTTTTTTTTTTTTTTTTTTTTTTTTTTCACACTAGGAATGCATCAACAGTAAAGGGATACGTACAATTAATGTTGTTGATACGTTGGACTTAATAAAAACACATACATTCAAGTCACAGCGTTAAAATTTGGCTATGACAAAATACGGGGTAGCTCAGATGTGGAGTTTTCCTTTAACATGTTGAAGAAATCTGATCAGAATGATTCTGGCTTTCAAGCACCCTAAAACATGGAATGTCCTATGTATACGGAGAGAAATTACCCGAGATGCAGGGATGTTCTGGCAGCAGAGGACAGGACGAGGAGCACAGTGGCAGGGCTGTAAATCCCGGTCTGTTACTGGCATTTATGGATGTAGGAGAACTCGTTTAATCTCCCCAGCACCATCCACGGCTCTGTAAATCAGGTCACTTTGGATGTGCTGCTGCTCAAGAGCTTGCACTGCTACATTAATCTGCTTAGGCTCCTGCCTGCCCTAAGACCTAATTCATTTGCCTTTTTTTAGCCCTAAGACCGGCTCCTGTAGCCTGGTACAGCCTTTGGTCCCGCACCTGCTTTGCAATTAGTACCCGCAGTAGTTAGCTGAAACCTCTGCTGCGTATTTTCACATGAAACCATGTCTGGAAGGCAGCACAGACAATGGGATGTGATGGAGGACTGTTGTTGCCAGTGTTTAAAGGAGTATCAGCACAATTAATCTGTTCTAAAACAACGCCCAAGTTCGCAGAGCACCTGATAAGACCGAGCCCACAGGAGTTATGATACTTACTTTGCCTTTTATCACCGATATTTGGCATTTTCATTTTAAACTAGAATATCTCCTGACAGTTTTATTTTCCTTTTTACTGTACTTTCATTTTGTTGTAGGCCGGTATCTGATACTCATTATCTTAAAGCACAAGTGCTATCTGATTACAACGTAGACAGGTATCATGAAGGAATGGTGAATTGCTTTAGGAGATTAATAGGTTTTGTATCTATACACCTGTACTACAACTTCCCTATCTCATTCTCCTCCTGTTTAGCCCAGGATATGTGCAATGTCGTAATACCAAGAAATGCTGCTGTCGCTTCTATTTACTGCTGTGAAGAGATGACTTTGTGAAGAGCTGAGAAAAAACTACTAAAAGGCTGGAAAAACTTATCTGAGATTGGCCAGCATAAAAATGGAAATTTATTCCAAGCTGACAGATAATTTGACACGTAGGAGCACAGGAACCTAAGACAGAGCCTGAGGAACTCTATCTGCAGCTAAACAAGGTCTTGAATCATGGCCCTTTGATAAAG